CTGCTTCTTCCAAGATTGGAATTGGGTGGCCATCTTCTTCATTGTCCAGTGCCTAACTCGCTCCGTCAACCTTTTGTGGGTGATGTCTTCATGATAATCATCTGTTTGGAGCGTGAAATGTGCAAGAACATCATGCCAAATTAGCTCCTTGTCCTTATCAGAGACATAACTAATATGAGGAGCATTGTTATTTTTTTCCATTCACGGGCATTGATCGGGAGCTTGTCCCTTACAAGGTACCCATAGTGGTACATGAATTTCTGTGCATATTGTCCAAGTGGTTCGCCTGTAGCCACGTTGAATTCTGAGATGATGTAGCAGCCTTCCAACGGTTTTTTGGCCCCTCGAACATTCTTTGTGTTCCCCGTCGTCGTCGTCGATCCAGACGGCTATGTACGCATAGAAACATAAAAAGTATTATAAAATGAAGGTCGATACAGTGGGCTACATGTATGCATAATAAATAAATGAGAGCGAGATATTGTGAAATATATACCTCGCCGGAATTATCTTCATGAACAACTTCCTCAACAATATGATCGAGATTCAAGTATTGACTCCCGTCGTCTTCCTGCTGGTCATTATCAACATCGGCACAATGTTCAGTGCCGGCGTTGATAATATCCATCATTTCCACCTCCAGGTCATCGTCTCTCGGGTCGGCCATAGAGAGCCTAAACAATTATAAAACAATAATTATGCAATTAGGGTTTAATAGACATTTCATACACATTTCGGGGCGGTGGTGCCTGCGCGGGGCGGCCGGCCAGCGTCGGTGGCCAGGGAGGGTTTAGGGTGGTTTAGGGTGGTTTAGGGTTTAGGGTTTAGGGTGGTTTAGGGTTTAGGGTATAGGCCACATGGTATCAGAATATAGCACAATTGATTTTTTTCCTAAGGAAAAATTATACATGTATACATTAATTGATATATATATACACACATTAATTTCATACATATATACATTAATTGATATATATATACACATTTCATACAAATATAATTTCAAACATATATACATTAATACATATTTTGTCAATATAATTCATAAATATAATAAATATAATATATAATATATATATATATACCGGCGGTTTAGAATTAATGGAGTGTTGGGGACGGGCGGTGGTGGACATCGGCGCTGGATCGAGGCACGGGGGCTCCTGGCCAGGCGCGGCGTCGTCGGGGCTACTCCGGCGAGGTGTGGGTGGGCGTCGGGATGCCCTCCGGTGAGGAAGAAGGCGCGGCATCGGGCCGGGGTGGCCCGGGAAAGCGAAATCGGCGGCGACGTGGCGCGCGCGCGGCGTCGGGGGCAGCCAGGGGCTCCTCCTTGAGGGGCGCGGCGTCGGGGCTACTCCGGCGAGGTGGGCGGGCGTCGAGGTGCCCTCCTGTGAGGAAGGCGGCGTCGGGGGTGGCCAGGAAAGCAAAATCGGCGACGGCATGGCGCGCGCGGCGTCGGGGGGGCCAGGGGCTCCTCGGTGAGGGGCGCGGCGTCGGGGCTACTCCGGCGAGGTGGGCAAGCCTCGGGGTGCCCTCCGGTGAGGAAGGCGGCGTCGAGGGTGGCCGGGGAGGCGAATCGACATCGGCGGAGCTCTGCGGATGTGCTGAAGATGAAGACGATCGATGAGGAGGAAGAGAGAAGGGAGGCGGCGGTATATAGGAGAGGGACCTTTAGTCCCGGCTCCATCCACCGCCTGGGACTAAAGCACCTTTAGTCCCGGCTCCTGTCACCAGCCGGGACTAAAGGGGGACCTTTAGTCCCGGCTGTACGAAGGAGCCGGGACTAAAGGATTTTTTGATGGGCCGCCAAATGCAGCCCACCTTTAGTCCCAGCTGGTGATAGGAGCGGGGACTAAAGGTGGGCTACATTTTTATTTCCCGCCAACTTTTAAGCAGATCAGTTTATTTTATATATGTTTTATATTTAAATGTTTAAGTCTTATTATTTGGGCAGTAAATTCAATACTAGGCACAAAATTTTTTAGAAAAAAGTAATAAACTTTATTTTCATTTACTACACATAAAAAAAATATGTGAGCTAAACTATTGTGTTTTTTATTATAAATGTTGAACATAATGCAACTAATACTCACTATTTTCGTTAATGCAAAAATGTAGATTTTAATTGAAATTATTAAATTTATTGGTTTTCGACAGGAAATTAGTTTTCACATAATTGTAACGTAAATCTTTAGGTTCTTCATTAATCATTGTATAATTAATCGGTGAGTTCGGACGGAAATTCAATTAAAGTTAAAAAAGTACCAAATCACCTCAGAAAAATCTCAAACTTGGTGGTGGCTACACACAGGGCATTTGTAGTCTTGAGAAAAAGTTTGAGACCAATCCGGCACTGGAAAGCAAATGAACTTCAGAGTCCCAGAGAACCTAGGTGTATAGATAGGGTTCGACGAAAGGTTCTATATACCTCTTTGAAGCACGTCGACTCCGCCTATGTCGAAATGGCTTGAAATTTTTTTGGCAGTCATTTACACCCAAAATATGGTCCCACACAAGATCTTAGGTTTTTCTGATAATTATTTTTATTATTACATTTTTTTTGTGCCGCGTGATACGAAATACGGTGAATTACATATTGAAAACAATATAATTTTGCATCAACCTCTACAAATATTTGTCTCCTAGGGCATAATAGACCATTTGGCAAAGTTTGGCACCATTCCAGATCATTTAGGGGGTGGACCCAGTTCAATGTATAATTAATCGGTGAATTCGCGCGAAAATTCAATTAAAGTGAAAAAAAGTACCAAACCACCTCCGAAAAATCTCAAACTTGGTGGTGGCTACACATAAGGCATTTGAAGTCTTGAGAAAAAGTTTCAGCCCAATCCAACACTAGAAAGCACATGGACCTCAGAATCCCAGAGAACCTAGGTGTATAGATAGGGTTCGACGAAAGGTTCTATATACCTCTGTGAAGAACGTCGACTCCGCCTATGTCGAAATGGCTTAAAAAAATTTTGGCAGTCATTTACACCCAAAATATGGCCCCACACAAGATTTTAGGATTTTCTGATAATTATTTTTATTATTACATTTTTCTTTGTGCCGCGTGAGACGAAATACGGTGAATTACATATTCAAAACAATATAATTTTGCATCAACCTCCACAAATATTTGTCTCCTAGGGCACAAGAGACCATTTGGCAAAGTTTGGCACCATTCAGGATCTTTTCGGGGGTGGACTCAGTTCAACGTATAATTAATCGGTGAAGTCGCGTGGAAATTCAATTAAAGTGAAAAAATTACCAAACCAATTCAGAAAAATCTCGAACTTGGTGGTTGCTTCACACTAGGCATTTTAAACCCTGATAAAAATTATGAGATCAATCAGGCACTAGAAAGGACATGGACCAGAAAATTCAAAGTATAGTTAACAAAAGAATATAATCAATTAAAGGGTCTTTTCTCTTATTAAATAAATGTTTGGGTGCTTTCTTGTCGAGAAAGTGACTTAGTTCAGATGGCTAGCTAGTGCGCTATGGTTTGGACCTTGGCTATGAGGTTGTGGGTTCAATGCCTGGCTGCCCCATTTTTTTGTCCAGCGTGACTATATTATTTTATCAAGAAAGATTTTATCCCGGTTATAGTCCCACAGCCGTCCCGGCTGGAGCCTCAAGCCAGAGTAAAGATTTATTCCCAGTTGGAGGGTCCAGCCGTCGCCACACACTTGGGGTAGGAACTTTGTATCCTTATTTGAGGATACAATCGGGACTAATAGTCCCTTTAGTCCCGAACACAAAAATACCGGGACTAAAGGCAAAAATAGAGGCAGGATGAAAGATCTGTTTTCTAGTAGTGACTTAATCCAAAAGGCAAAGTTCATGAAATTAATATAGTCACGGAGAGCGTGTTGTCGCAGGCTCACAAACTCTACTGTATAAACCTTTCCATGTATTGCAACGGGAACAAATAATGCCCTGATAATTTGAGCACGGACGTGTGTATTGTTAAAAAAACAATAATGCGAGTGTGATATTCGAAATGTCAATATTACAAATTGAATTTTGTGCATGGCTAAAATTCTCATTGACGGTTTGCAATCATTAAAATATGCATTTATGGTATTGTACATTTGTGCATACGCACATGAAAGTTCATATCACCATAACAACATTAATTGATTCCTCGACCTTTTAAAACTAACCATCACTTTGAGTTATCATTTTCCATTAGTATCTGCAATTAGTAGCTCAATGTAAGAGTATTCATGTGTTCTTTGTTGTTTCCCAACTGCCCAGGTAAATTAAAATATATCCGGAAGGAATGTACTAACTACTCAAAATCACCACTTGCTATGAAGCTGATCAAAGTACATCTCATTTTGCATGGATAGCCTAGACAATTCTTAATACGCCATAGCTGCATGGATAGCCTTGATAATTCATAAAATCAAAGGGAAAAAAGGTCCACACAAGATTAGAGCATATAGCAACCTTGCCCCAAGCTCCAGACAGCACGAATTTCGCAAGGAATGAAAAAGAACACAACCTAACCAAACTACCTAAACGAATTTCGAATTGACCGGCCGTCGGCGAGGCGCGGAGGCCTCCACTATCCTCAAGGCTCCAGATTTAGCGCTCCACGGTGGCAAGAACCACAACCCAGCAACCCAATTCCGGCCCCGCACTCTAGCCGGAGCCACAGGTGCACATGCTTTGCCACCACCAGGCCCCTCGCGTCATCCCCGCGGTTCACCATCAGCAGTTCCACGTCGACATGCTCCTCGCGGCGCTGGCACCATGCATAGATAAGTTCAAGAGGAATTCTCATTTGACGCTTAAGAGTTTTTTGTTTTCGCAGTTGTAGACTTGCAGTGTATAAATACATATACCTCTATTGCTCCTATTGTAACTTCCACTGTCAAATTAATAGTTTTGAAACCTCAAGGCATTAAAGTTGACAAGAAACAAATGTAGAGAGAATAGGTAATTTGTACCAAAAGGCATCATTTTCTCTGAGGTAACAAGTTTCCTGTGCTTTAGTCCTGCATGTTGAACAATGATGAAATAATAGTAGAATCACGGATCCAGCTATTGCAAACAAACATCACACAAATGTAATAACTACTATCAACAATTCAATTTCAACACTATAAGCATATACTATAAGAAGAAAATAGGCAATCCGACAATTACCAAGAAGCAGGTCTACTTGATGTACATGCTCTTGAAATTGACCAGATGAATGCCCCGTGCCAATTCAAAGAAACAACATGGAAATGTCAGAACAATGGAAAGCAGGCTTGTATCATCACTTCATCAGCAGGTCAATTTCTATGCTTAACAAGGAATCAGCAGCTCACCAGGTTGATACTCTCTCGAGATTGCAAACAAACCAATATGGCAACCCAAGTACCTCACAGTTAGAAAACTGAATGTTTGAGGTGATCTTGGTATCCAAGTCGTGCTTTAGAACCCTTTGACCATCTTCAAAGAAACAAAAAAGAATTGATACAATCCAATTTTTATGATTTGATTCCAGAATAGAGCTATATATCAATCAGCTCATAGATTAACCTGTATCACAGAAGATAATGTAATTCTGAAATCTTGCAATTGATGATATAAGCTCATTGTTAGGGATCTTCTCCATAGAATCAGAAAGCACTCTAGCACTTGACCAGTTCATGTGCATATCCTTAATAAGGGCACACCTCTCTTTTACAGTTTGCCGATATGACTCCATTACTTCAGCTCTGCCTTCACACAACTTTAACTCAATGAGGTAAGAAAAAAAATCTAATAAATAAACAAAACAAGTCAATACTAACCTCTTCCAATATCCTGATTTCTACAAGTTGGGGTCCATTGAGTTCCAAAGCTGCAAAGTAGCAAGTGTCGAGACCAAGAAGAGTTACTAATAACTCAGTAGCCAGGTAATCTGTTCCCAATGGAAACCAACGGTAGTGCACTATTGGCATAATGTGCCTGTACGCAAAACTAAAACAAGAAATACATCACAAAGCCATTAACCACCAGTAACATCAGTTGAACACCAAATGTAAATGCAACAAATTTCACTAATATGTGTTTCCTCCCATATCAACCAAAATAATGAACAGTAAGTATTTAGAAATATTATCATTTAGCCTCACTACCAGAAATGTAAAACATTCCCAGACCAAATATTTGGTCATAAAAGGATGGACAAAATGCATGTATTACATCAGATTTCAGATTGTACAAACTGCTAATGGAAGCATTTATATGAGGGCAAGTTAATCAAATTGGATCTAAAATGGTCAAGATGGATAGATGAGAAGAGATGCCTACCTGTGGTCTGCGATTAATAAGTTGTTCACTGAAATTTGTATCAAATGCCATGGAAGTGCTATGGAGTCTGCATCAAAATCCTGAATAGTTGGAGCAACTTCTTTTCTCCGACCAAGCCTATCTGTAATCCAGCTCCAGATGCCATTGCTTCTATTGAAGACTGGATAAACTGTTTCTAAAGTCCATAAATCTGACTGCATGATTCTGCAAAAAGAATCAGAAAGGGATAAATCAGATAATTCTTTAGTGTAAAAATAGAGTGCAAAAATATTTATCAGACGGAAATCAAGCTCAGAAACAATGAATTCACAGATGGAAAATTATTAGTTATTTGCATATAGGGCGGCATGATTTAACTTGAACTGGCAGCCCTCGGTGAGCCATGCCTGAAAACATTACCCTAAATTATGTTATTACTTTTGAGACAACAAAAAACCAGAACCTTCTCCTTAAACTGAGTATATTTAGTTTAGTTGCTTAGAACTACGGTTTAAAAGGATTACCTATGCTTTTTTATCATAAACATGTGTGTGGAACTTGACAAAATTTGCACCAGCAATATTCTGCATATAATCTAGATGGTCAGGCAAAAAAAAAGCTGACCTATATCCTAGGTGCTGGGCTGTGGCCACATCCCCTGTGACATGATTTTCCAAAGACAGAGTAATTGTGTTGCTAACAATAATCTGACAGCATGCATGCGTCACAGGATAAGGGGTTAAGCAAGAACCTCCAAAATAAAAAAGCAATCTAGGACAAACTTTTTAGTAATACCTTCAGTTTTTACTGAAGAAAGTAGAAAAAAATAGATATATATGGTTCTATCATTTAGGATGGAGAAGAAAAAGAAATTACATGGTCCAGTTACTTGGTTATCTGAGTCAATCTGCAACAGCAAGGAACAAAATCATCCCATCACCTACCCGGGACTAAAAAAATTCAATGAATAATCTTTCAGTATAGTGCTATCTGAACCCTGAATGATTCAAATATGAATACACATGTGTCAACAAACACACAACACTCCCTTCCAATTGTTAGCAGATGAATGGTGAAGCTACTGATTGAATAGACAAAAAAACATTCAACCTAAATAGATGAAAAAATAACATTGATGGCTGTGAAATCTCGATTAAGTGTGCTTCATGATTTAGTCAAGCAGACCCTTCGAGGCGGCAAATCAGGATTATTAGGTTCAGAAAAAGCATAAACTTGGACTGACCTATTGTTTGCCCCAGTCAAGCATTAGTAGAGCACGTGCGCCTAAATCTATACTGAATTGAGATCCTTTTCCTCCTTTTTATTTTGTTTTGTTTGTGCCTCTGCATACCAATTGTTGGACAGTGAACAGTGAATGGAGGCATCGATTAAATAGATAGATTGTGTTAAAGAAAAAGAAGACCAACAAAATCAATAAATTGACAGGAGGGGACTGCTCAAAATCAATAAATCGATGGCAAAAAACCAGTCAGACTTGTAATTGCTCCATCAGTTCATGAGACAAAAAAGAAATTGGTAACTGATCATAACATTCGATGATTTTGAATCTGAAAATCGACAATCAAACCACTTCGCTTACAATTGCCGGACCTGAACAATAGGCAGGAGTGAAAACAATCTTGAAATGCCATATCATGAATAGTAGGCACTCAGCAACACCTGGACTGACCTTAGGACAGCCTGAAGTGTTGCAGGCGACGTGCATTGGGCTGGGCGACAGCAGTGCGCGATAGAGGTGAGCGATGGGCAGTGATGCCAGCTCTTCAACACACGTACTCACACGAAATAAGATCTTGCTGCCATATGAATTTTCTTGACTGAAATTACAAGGATTGAAACTTTAGCTAGCATGAATCCCAAACAAACCTGGCAAAATTACAGGGATTGAAATTACAAAGTTTCAGTTTGGTCAGAAAGCAAGTTGTTGGGTTGAGTCAAATTTATATGGCAAAGGTGCTGCTGCATCCTTTTTCAATGAAGGCTGGTTGCTAGTACAGGCGAGGTGCATCTATAATCTATAAACATAATAACAAAAAGTCTACTTATTTACTTGGCATGCAAAATTAGCTAGGACTGTAAGAGGTGAAGGGAAATGTTTAGAGCCTGTCAACACAGAATTTTCGTCTCCGTGCCGAGGACACATGCAGCAAGCCGGAAGGGTCCGCTCGATAGAGCAGATCCGCCTAGCTTCAGCGCAAGGGTGGTCGATCCTACGCAATCCTCCTGAGACGTGCCAGTCAATTTGACCCTGCAATTGACAAGGAGAGAAAGCTCATCAGTAATTAAGGGTGGAACGTGCCGGCGTTGCCAGACAGTCCCGAATGTGCGGCTCTGAGAGCCGATATGAGAGGAGATCGACTAAATAGTCGATTCCAGCATATTCATAATAATAAATCGATTAAAGCTCATGGGGTTGTATAAGAAGAATCGGTTATCATTTAGGATAAATATTATTTAAGCAAATATTAATCAATGGCAATAAGATATCACTGATGATCGATTTATACTAAGCCAATGATTATAAGTAACCGAACTCCTTTTTATATAAAGAAACAATTCAACACCACTTAACCATTTAATAAGGATAAATCTAATGAACATGTTACATCTCATCTATCGCCATGGCCAGTGGGGCATGAGGCAGAATCATGCAGGCCGTACAAACAACAATAGACTCGACGACCCTAACTCATTACTAATATCAGTAGGGAATGAGGCAGAATCATGCAGGCCGTAATACAATAATAAGATCATGGGGCTAACATATCTTTCAACTTATCTCTACTTCAATGATCTCGTAATGTGAACTGTTCGCGAAAGCACTCGATATCGGCTAAACAGCCGATTCAGGCATAGCGCACAGTTAAGGTCATGTCTTCTTAGGAATGAACCTACCAACTAACGATCCCCACTCCACAGTGCTAACAGTGGGGTGAGTGGCAGAATCCCACAGGCCGTGATAATGGGTCACGAAACGGTTCTCGCTAACCAATAGATCTACTCAAGATCGAACATGCATTAACCGCACGCTATGCACGATTAAGATTGATATAAAACAGCCGATAAAGCATAACTCATCGTTTAAGGTGTAGATTAGATCAATTTTAGATTAGCAAACGATGAGTTAAATAAGATATAAGGCTGATCCAGATCAATCTCAATCGGGCAGAGTGATATTGTTGTAATTAGATAAACAATGAAAGCAATAAGCAATATCGGTAACTTAATAAATCTACCAAAGACTGCCATACTAAGGTAGAGCTGATAACTTGACCTTGATCTAATTCAAGCAGTGGGGTGTGAGGCAGAATCACACAGGTCATACTTGAATTAGATAAGAATCGATAACTAGCCTATACCAGAGTCGCAGTGGGGGTCGAGCGGATCGATGCAGCCACACGAACAGAGGTATAAACCATGACGGGACTTACATACAAGCAGTGGAGGTCGACCGGATCGATGCAGCCGTACTCGCTGAAGAACTCGCCGAGATCTACTCTACTCCTACTCCTAAGGGATGGCCGGAGCAAAAAAAAGTAATTGCCTTGTATTTGATTGATTGTTATTTTTACAATAGTCGGGGCTTGATATTTATACCCGGGACCTGCGCACGACTCCTGTCTAAGCACGACTCATCACAATTTTTGACCCTAAAGAAAACATTCCTAATTTAAGATAACTTGGACTCTAATCTTTCTCTTTCTGTAGAGTCCAGCATGTTTCGTCCTAGAGTCGAACGTAGCATTTGTTGTTATCCGCTGGCGCTATCCGAGGAGAGCCGATTCTAATTTCTACATCTGAATCAGCTGTTTCCGATCTGCACGCTATTTATACCTTGGTGACATGATCTTGGGAGCTTTCGAGTCCCTGCGACTTTTCTTCAAAACTTCGGTCACGGGTAGAGAACCTTGATCTGGGGTCCACTGTTTGTCGCTGCCTGCGCTCACTCATAAGCCCATGCCTCAAAACTTTTTACAAGAGCGTCACTGCTTCATGGGCACTTGGATTCATCTTCCCAGGCCGGCTATAAAATGCCCATCTGACTCTGGCGAGAGCAACTCAACAATTCAGCCATGCTTTGTTTCCATCTACTCTCTTGAGTGCCTCTAGTTCCGCCAGACCCTCCATGGTCTGCCCTTTTGTTATGAAGATCTTGAGCGACTAGAAGAATTCTTGTGCATAGGGTGATTGTGTTACTTATCCTAGTGCCTCGTTGAGCAAGAAGACCAGTCATTGCGGTTAGAAGAATTCTTGTGATATCACCTGAGTGTTCTCTCCATGCTCATAAAGCTGTTCTAGTGTTTGCGAGGGCTAGAATGTGTGATCACCTTCCCCTTGTTACTCCTCCAAACGCCCACCGGGAAAGCCTCAGGCTTCTTTCCCATAGTTCCTCAATTTATTGAGAAATCTGTTGAGCATATGTTAGGCGAACAACCTTTCTTCCTCTTGGATATAACTTTATTGATTGGCCGATGCGACTTGGTTCATAATGAGTTTCGGCCTTATGAAAATTCGGACTCCCTTCAATCCAAAGAAGTTCTGGTGAGTTAATCTCTGGTCAATGTATCCACCCCACGATATTTTGTAATTTGGGGAAGTAATAAATTTGAGTTTGTTATCTCTTCGTTATCCATCCCCTGAATTTCCGGAGTGCTGATCCGTTTCCGTTTTTTATTTCAATTTCACACCTCTATCTTCTCGCTCTCCCGGGCTATATATACGGGCTATGGCTGAGTCAAAAAACAACCCTCTTCGTCTCAACCCTTCTTCGTCTTTAGCATATCCCCTGCCTTTCCGTGGGTTCGAGGTCATGGAGAACAACAAGAGGTCTGCTGAAGAAGCCCTCAACGGATCCACATCATCACGTCAACGCCCTTGTCATCAAGAGGACGCATCTTGGGGCGCTCCCATTGCTTTTGATCAAAGGGCAAACTCCGCCCAGCCCTCAGGGTCATCTTTGGCACCAATCCACCGCCAGCTTCCTCATCATTCGAGGTGACAGATCAGTAACAACGATCTGTTGGCCTCCATTGATCGGACCGACCAGCATCTAGAAAACTGCCTCTCCTTAGCGGAATCGGCTCTGGCCATGATTGAAGACCGATCACCCCCCGAGATCAGCATTATGAGAGAAAGGTTGGCCAGGGCTAAAGCTAGAATCATGGGTGAGATGTCTGCCATTATTTCTCTGTTCTTTTTCCTTGATTTCATCCTCAAGATTTCTGATCACTCTTTTCTTGAATATTTTAGATTTAACCGCTCAGTTGGAGAGTCTTTGATCAGCCGCGGATCAGGCAGCGGGATTTGTCAATGCCAGGGGCGCCGTTCTGGTGGTTCGCTTGCACGACATCCCGAATCGTGTCCGGGAGGTCACCCTTCATGGAGTTCGTCGTGGAGCCACCATGGCGTTGGCTGCTGCACAAGCCCGTTCGGGTCATAATCTTCAGCTTCTTCCCCATGGTTTTCTAGCCGCAACGTACCCTAGGGAGCACGAGCGGTTGGTTGAGGATTTTATGAGCGCCGCCAACTCTATAGCTTTCAATATCCTGGCCGATGATATAGTAGGAAAAGTATTTTCCAGCCCGTAGCTTGTAATAGGTGACATTTAGCAAACAACTTTCTTGCTTTGAGTGATTTCCCTTTGTTTCGTGCTTCATTTTATACGCATCACTCTGTCGGCATAATCGATACGCATTGTACCGGCTTTCACCCTTTCGGGTTTACCCTCTCGCTAGCAACGATACCCTTCCGGTATCGGCTACTAAAACTGATGACCAAGCAAATCAGTTGTTAAGTATCAATCCAAATGCTAGGGTAATATTCCTTCAAATATTTTCCATTTGATTGCTCTGCCGAATTTCCTTTCCATTCTCAGTATCTTCAAAATACAAGTATTACTAGGCACATAACATTTTATCCGATAAGGTCCTTCCCAGTTGGGTGACTTTTTGCCGAACCTGCTGCTCCCTAACTCGATCGGAGATTTTATTTTCCAGACTAAGTCTCCTTCAGAAAATTGCTTAATTTTGACCCTCAATCCTTAGTTTATCGGCTTCAAAGTTTTCGAGAGCACGCAACCAAAAGTAATTCAAATCTTCTAAGTTGTCCATTACAAAATTCTTGTAGTCTTCGGTTGATAAATCATTCGGCTCCTCTGCTCTTGGCTCTCAAAAGTAGTCCATGCTAGGTCTTTTCTAGAATCTTACTACCACTGATTGTCATAAGCCCATTCTGGCTAAGATACCTGATGCCATTCAACAAGAGAAATAGGAACTGCTGGCCAAGGTCAGAACAAGTTGAGCTATCTGAATCAGCCTCGAGATCATCAGCTTATGTAGAATCGATCGTATTCCCTATTGTTCAATTGCATTTTTGTTTCGGCCAAAGAGCCGATTCGATACAGCCGATCCTAGACTCCTGATCTTAATTTAATTAAGCCTGAAAACACGGCTTTCATTAAGAGAGCCCTTCGATCTTCTATCCTCGGTCATCTGGTGTTGTATTCTCTTCAACATTGGTGAAGTGGCGCTTCGCCTCCTATTAATTACGGTTGCCTTTTGCGCGTTCTGAGGCGTCCGTCCCTTCGCTTCATGTCTTCAAATACCAGCCGATGGCTTCTGCCTCGAACACATATCCATCCATAACTGTTTCTTTACTCTTCTCCGCCCGCTAAAAACCCTATAGCGGTTTTTTCTTCTCCCTTTC